TGCGGTGCCAAGACCACTAGATCTTAGAGAAACTTTACTCTGGAAGTAGCCTTAGAAATCTTACGATGCCTTTGCCTTGACTGCTTCAGAATTCTCCAAGAGATTAATGTCCAACAGGATGCATTCATTTGGAGAATCTGGAATATTTGGAGGAGGAAGATGCTTGGTGGATTGCAGTAGTAGAGGAGAAAGAGCCCTCTGATCCCCATCCTTCACATTTATTACCAAAATGATTTATCAGCTAAGATAAGAAAAAGCAATCAGCAATGTCTCTTTATATTTTTGTCAGTATAGAAAGATAAACTGTGGCGTGCATAACTGGCCCATGTTGTGTAAGAAATTCTTAAGAAACAGACAATGCAAACTTTCATCTGCATTCTTAAAATATGCTTTGTGCAAAGATTAAGGCTGCTGTATAAATCTTACAAAAGCAGATGCAGCAAATATAAACATTTTCCCCCCAAGACTAAACCAAATATTTTAGAATGAGCCCTTCCTGCCTTATAGAACAGAATAGAAAAACCAGACACATAAAAATTGGCCATATTGTGCCCAGAAAGTGCAAAAATTAGCCAGTAGGTCCAGCCTGGGATTCAACATAGGAATCCAGGTTGAAGTACCCCTGACGCTTCTCAGCCTCATAAACAGCCCAAGTCAATTTTAATTGTGTCTTTTTAGTTGAGAGAGAGGGACCTTGGAGTTCTAGTAGACAATCACTTAACCATGAGCCAAGAGTGTGCAGCAACAGACAAAAAAGCTAATACAATCCTGGGTTGTATAAACAGAGGCATAGAATCAAGAACATGCGAAGTATTAGTACCACTTTATAAAACCCTAGTAAGACCACACCTGGAATACTGCAGCCAATTTTGGTCACCATATCACAAAAAAGATGTTAAGAATTTGGAAAAAATTCAGAGAAGAGCAACCAAGATGATCCAAGGCCTGGAGACTAAAGCATATGAAGAACAGCTGCAGGACTTGGGTTTGGCTAGTCTAAAGAAAAGAAGAAATAGGGGAGACATGATAGCAGTATTCCAATATTCGAGGGGCTGCCACAAAGAAGAAGGGGTTACGTTATTCACCAAAGCACCAGAGGGCAGGACAAGAAACAATGGTTGGAAAATGATCAAAGAGAGAAGCAACCTGGAATTAAGGAGAGACTTCCTGACAGTGAGGACAATTAACCAGTGGAATAGCTTGCCCACAGAAATCGTGGACGCTCCATCACTGGAGATTTTTAAAAAGAGGCTAGACAGTCACTTGTCTGAGATGGTATAAGTTCTCCTGCTTGAGCAGGGGGCTGGACTAGAAGACCTCCAAGGTTCTATTCTATTCTATTCTATTCTATTCTATTCTATTCTGTTGTTTTATAATCTTTACCTGAAAAACCACCCAAAGTGACTTGTATTGTGCTACGGGTGATGCCTAAATTTGATGAATATAATAAATATGGAACATAACCAGTAAATGGAACCCACTATCACCTAGGAAATTGCATCTATTGCTGAATTGCTCTTTCTGTTCAGACAAAAAATCTTAGCTTTCAAATGCACTGTGTCACTGCACAGGCGCTGCATTTTTATATATCCCTGAGACTCAGATTTCTTTTAATTGCAATACTTTGCATAATCCATCTTTCCTCAATCAGTGCAATCCAGATGGTCAAGAATCCCAATTTCCAGAATTTTAGAGAACTTTGCATAATTTGTCAAACCTTCCAAGGAAGAGAAGAATGATATCAGACTTAAAACAAAAAGCATTTGTCTTCTTTGTCGACATTCTTTATTGCCAGTCTTCCAGCAGTCACTCCAAATATCTGGCTGCACAAAGATCTTACTTTGCAGCAAGGTGATCTTAGTTTAAAAAGGTACCACATTATTTTTCATTTTATTCATTCCCACACATTGGAGGAACAATAACAGCTTATTTCCTTTATGGCCCCTGACCACAATTGGCCATTCATATTCCAGAACACCTCTTTAAGAATCTCTCAACTCTGTTGCCAATATTGTCTATCACTGGAAATGGAATTGGGGGACAGGTTTTGGGGGGGAAGGAAAAAGCCCAGTGTGTGCACCTACAATAGGCCCAAATTCAGGGCTGCATAAGCTGCAATCTAGAGGCACAAAGGAACATTTCATTTCCCCACTCCCCACTACAATCCTCAAACAACCCCCCAAAAGCTGCTCCAGTGGGTCCCTCCAAGTTTTATGAATAGAATCTAAGTGTGCATTAAGTACTCAGAGGAAGAGGGGAAAAGCCAGTTCTCCTTTTAAAGGGGATTCTGTCAGCAGAAACAGAACACTGGATTTCACTAAGCCTTAAGAAGTATAAGTAGGTCTGAAAATATACACATCACCTGCCAGCTGTGTGTAAAGATAACCTTCTGGTATGATGTGCCGCATCACTTAGCAACACCCATAACAGCCAAAAAATCTTCAATGAATTGCAAATGCCAAAAGTCTGAATGAGCAAATTTCATGACATGTTTTCAGTAGCTTTTCCAAGATTTATTGTTTGCGCTGAGAAGAGTAAGTCGGTGAGTGATCTCCCAACCTCAGAATGTTAAGGTTACAGAGCTTTAGAAATATTACCCTGCATATTCAGATAATGCCATTCCTGGATCTGCCCTAGAAATCTCAAAATCTGAAATTCTACAGACATAATCAAGCTCTGATATTAAATCATCTGCAGTTTGAACTGCACTTTTCTACTAGCACTAGACTTACTGTATTTGCAGTAAAACATGTATATTTCTTCAACCTGAAATTAAGAAAACAGGGATAGCAAAAGATTGTTTTTCAGCACCAGTAAAAAAGCAAGAAAGATCAACTTTTATATCCTGTTCTTGGCCATATCTCATATTCAGCTCTGGAGAAAAAAAAAACACAATTCAGCAGGAAAGGATGTTCTTTGTATTTATGAATCCAGCAATGCAACTACCCTATTAGGAAGCCTTATTAACCCCACTCAAAAACTGTACCGTAGAGATTCAAGACTTAACAAAGAGACCAGATGAGGCTCAATGGGTTATTTCTTCAGAGCCGCAAACTGGCTCTTGGTAGGTTATGCTATTTCTTTTCATGCGGAGAAGACAGTCCTTCAGACTTTTTAAAGAAAATCTTTAGAAGGGCTAACAAATCATAGCCAGGCCAATTAAAGTCCTGGGAATCAAGAGGAGCACATTCATTTTCCAAATGCCAATCTCAGGCACCATTTGCCTATAGGAAACTCTGCTGCTGCCAAATCTCTTGGTCCATTGTCAGTATGGAGACTGGTTGGCATCAGTACTCTCTGGTCTCAGGCAGGACTTTTTCCAGTCTAGTCTGGCGGTACTGCATACCAGCCTATCATCTTTCTGCAAGCAAAGCAATGTGTTTTGACCCTAAGCTACAACCCCTTCCCAGTGGAGAGGGGTAACAAATTTAACGATCTGGTGGTTGGATTGGGTTGGATTGAGTTTAAGGTATGAAAAATACACAAAGGGAATAGAAATTCAACAGGTGGGAGACATAACAGGTTGGAGCTATATTCAGTAGCCACAGAACAGAAAATCAACTGCAGATAGTAGAGGCAGAAAATCAGAGGAAAGGAATCAATTAGTATCCTGACAAATCAACATGAAGGCTGGCACTTCTGGAAAGGATCACTCAATCCTGCAAAGATTATGGCCATTTATGTGATGAAGAAGTTGGCAAGATATTGCCATTCACTGAAGTCTTCAAGCAACCGGATATTAATACAGGTAGTCTTCGACTTATGAGCACAATTGAGCCCAACATTTCTGTGGGTTAAGTGAGACATTTGTTAAGTGAGTTTTGCTCCATTTAACCACATTTCTTGCCACAGTTGTTAAGTGAATGACTGCAGTTGATAAGTTAGTAACCTGGTTGTTAAGTGAATCTGGCTTCCCCATTGACTTTGCTCATCAGAAGGTCGCAAAAGGGGATCACGTGACCCCAGGACACAGCAAAGGTCATAAACATGAACCAGTTGCCAAGCATCTTTTGATCACGTGATTCTGGGGATGCTACAAAGGTTGTAACTCTGAAAAACAGTCATAAGTAACATTTTTCAGTACTGTTGTAACTTTGAATGTTCACTAAACGAACTGTTGTAAGTCGAGAATTACCTATATGGCCAAGACCCCACAAAAAAAAATGGGAGAAGAAATATCATTGCTGGTCTTGGGCATCCTGTTACTTAATCTTCAATCCAAGGAACAGTTCTGTGCAAAAGATTGTTCACTCTCCGAGTTCCATTTTGGTTGCTTTCAATAAAAGATTATTTCTCCATTCTACTCTGGGGACAGCCCTTTTACTGAACAGATCTACCGTCTGAGCCTAGTCTGGACCATTTCCCAAACTTGATATGCTTAGCCACTAAGCACACCTTTTTAAAATTATTTTGGAAGAATTCCAAATCAATATATTTCAACAACAGGCAAAGGGAGATTATTATATATGGAATGATAATTATATATGCTCCTCCAGTAATATTGTGAAATAATTTTTATACAGCTGTCATAAGGAAAAAAAAATAAAAGTTACTTCTAATTCGACCGAGCGATAGCGCTTCCTCACACGTTTTATCAGCCTAATTATCAGCTTAGCCCAGTCACCCTTCTCTATTACCAATTCAGCACAATTGAATTATTCAACTTACCAAGCGCCTTTACCCGGTTGCCCGTTTTTACACCCGGGCATCCCCCAGCGTCGCAGCGACGCCCCCTGCCGTACCTCGTCGGACCCGGCAGGAGTAGCGCCAGCTGAGCTCGGATCAGCCGATTCTAACAACTGGCGACGAAAGGGATTTAGAAACCTCAACTTCACGTATTAACGCCCCTGCTTTTACTTAGGAAGGTTTCCGTTCCCCCCCCCGCCCTTCCCCGCAATCCAATTATAGCCCGAAGCGCAATGCAACATTTAAAAGCCAGGCAAACAATCAGTCGAAGCAAAGTTGTTTTTAGCCTGCAATCCTGCGAACGCGTATGGTACCCTGAGAATAAACCTCACCAGGCGCCGCACGATTGGCTTTGGAGTCCTTGTGCCCGAGATTAAGTTTCTAAGCAATCCCCCGGTCCGCCCTCGAATTGTCTGCAGTGAATCGCCCAAAACTGTACGCCCTTCCGAAGGGAGCTGGTCGCCGTTTCTCGCACCAGCCCTTCGCTCGCTCGCTCGCTTTTCGTTTCTCACCCCCGCTGCAAAGAGTTAACGCGGAAAGGGGGATTATTTATTTATTTATTGGGAGGGAAGGAATATACAATCTCAAGAAGCTTCCTTCTCCGTCGCAGTTCGTGTTTGGTCAGCTGTCCTGCAGAGAAGACTGCATAAAACGAGCTTGCGAACAATTTTTTTTTTTTTTTTAAAGGCCCAGCAAAGGCATTCCCATTCGTTTGACTTACCAAGCTTCTCCATGCAGGATGCCGGGATGGTGGGAGGTTTTATTTATCTATCTTCTGGCTGGCTTCTCTCCGTTGTTCAGCTAAGGACTCCCGACCTGCCATCCCGTCAGCGGGTCCACGCCCTCCGCAGACCTCCCCGCGGGATTTCGCACCAGCGGGGGCAAACTCTAGTCGTCGGGGGCAGAGGCGGGGGGGGGAGGAGGCTGGCGTTGTGGACGCGCCCTTGGAAGATCGAAGTGGGACTGTTTTCCGCTGCCAGCCGGCGACCGCTTTACAAGCACCGCAAGCGGAGCTAGGCGGCGGGGTTCGCCTTCGCCGCTACTGTGCTACCCTCTCTTAAAGGGACCGGCCCCAGTTCCAGGCGGAGGAAAAGCAACGCGGCCACGCTTGGTCGCTGCGGTGAAGCTCCCGAATTTGGGCGACGTTTAAAAGGAGCCTCGACTCTCCTGAATGAGACCGGCTCTGACGTGGGCGCCAAGTTTCTCTAGCAGCCCCAGCAACACGCGGAGCCGAGTTTGAGCCGCCTCCAGTCCCCCCCTCCCACCCCACCCCCGAGTCAAATACTGCGTCCCGCACCCTAAATCTCTTTCTTGGTTATTCAATTCCTGCCTCTGTTCCCAGGCTACCTGTAAGAGAGATGCTGGCTGCGGGAGATTTGCAGCTTTGCAGATCTCGATGATCTCTGTGAAAGGTGTATGGGAATCAGGGAGGAAAATCCAACTGCACTTTAACACTCGTGGAGCCAAGAAGATCAAGCCACTCGTGGGCTGAGGAACAGATGGAAGTAAAGATGTGGACACGGCCAAACCCAGAGCATTTATTGGTGCCGTGGTTAAAGGCAAGTAGGAAAGGGGCTCTTTGCTAATGGCCCATGACATTTAGGATCATTCCTCTGACAGCTCTGAAAATCCCCATCTGTCAGAGATGCTAAGGTTGCCGAAGACAAGTAAAGGGAGACTGTGTAGTTCAGTGGTTCTCAACCTTTTTAATGCTATGACCCCCCAACCGGTTGTAAGTCAAGGACTACTCAACCGGTCGTAAGTCGAGGACTACTCAACTGGTGCAGCACCGTTTGCAGAATGGGACTTTTGGCGGGCTCAGCAGGGCAGAGAGAGCCTGGACAATTCCTATTGGCTTTTGAAAGCCAGTAGAATTAGACTTTATTCAAGAGAGCTTATTCCCGAGGTGTCGCAGCAGTTAGAGTGCAGTACTGCAGGCCACTTTAGCTGACTGTGTTCAGCAGGTCAGCGGTTGAAATCTCACTGGCTCAAGGTTGACTCAGCCTTCCATCCTTCCGAGGTAGGTAAAATGAGGACCCAGATTGTTGGGGGCAATGTAAAATATATATATATATATACATTGCTTACTGGTGTACACCGCTTAGAGAGTGCTTGCACTTAAAGCGGTATATAAGTCTCATAAATAAATAAATAAATAAATAAAATAAAAGGGAGTAGCACAGCTAAGGAAAAGGGGAAAAATGGCAGACTGCGTTGTTTGGCGACCCCTGTGAAATGGTCGTTTGACCCCAAATGGGGTCCCGACCCACAGGTTGAGAACCACTGGTGTAGTTAGATATGTGAAGCAACTTTTCCCAGTCACCAGTATGCTGTGGACAACTATCTGACTCCATGGGCTTTGTGCTCAGTTCTTCCAAAGTATCCAAAGATTTTATTGCTACAGGCTTGGTGTGATGGCCCAGATGTGAAAAGTCACAGAATTTTGATTTAAACAGGTCTTTGAAAACAGGGCTGAGGCCTTTCTTTAGCTGCACCAATATGAAATGCTGGTGACAGACCTGGTTCTTGCATCACTAGTGTTTTGTTGAACCATGATATATTGAATAAATGATGATTATAATTTACATTAAGCTACAAACCACTCCTTCTGTATTCAGTCAACATGATGAGTCAAAACAATGTAAACTACATTATTTCAAATAATGTCTGGGTCCAGAATAAATAATACTAGATTGTGTAAATAATAATGGCTGTGTTTGCCAAACACACTAGACTAAAAGGCTTGTTTCATAAAGCTTGTTTCATGAGTGTCTGATGTCATTTTATTTCCCATCACATGTAGTTCTGCAGCCAAGTATTGTGGCTTACCATTTTATTCAGACCTAAAACAGTCACTAGTTGGGGTATTTGGAAGCCAGAACATTTACCTAATGTTTCCAGAAATCTCCAAAGTAAGTCATAAAGTCATTTTTAATGCTCTTGCCTTGTAAAATAGAATCTCTCTAAAAAGAGAATTTTGCGTTTAAAATTTTGTATTGAAATTCTGTACTGAAAACCAGGGCAATTTTTTTAATGCCATCCTTCTCTAAGAAGATAAAGCAAATTATACAGTTTAAAAGGGAGATAAATTATAAGAAAAATCAGTAAGAAGGCAGCACTATTGAATCTCCTTCTCCATCTAGCAGATAGAAACTATTCAACCCAAAACACTTCAAGGCAAAACCAAAGAAGTCAGCAGAGATGATTCATATTAATCTGCTCTTTTGCTTATAACATGTTCTCTAGAATAATATAGCTGGAAGTGAGAGGTCTCAGGGGCCCTCAGTGACAGATACACAAATATCTCCCTCCTGGAAATTGTGTAAGTCAGCAGAAGATGTTCTCCTCACTTTCTGCAATCCCAACAGGTGGAATAAAAGGAAGAAAGTATCTGTCTCTCCAATAGGTGAGGTTCTGCTATTGTTTGGAGGAAAGCGAGAATAGGTTCTCCAGCTTAATATCCAGAACTGACTCACTAACTGCAGACCAAGGCAAAGCAATCTGCAGACTGACCCCATTCTTAAGTTCAGTGGTTGAAAACCTCTAGCCTAGATGAATGCCCAGATAACCACAGGAAAGGTACATCTTGGCAAAAGAAATGGCAATGCTGCCAACTATAATACACATGCATTTTTCTGTGCTAGTGGTCCTCTGCACAGCCACAGTTACCCAGCATCATATTTCTATAATACAATGATCTACAGTGATGCAGCAGGAACCCGATAAAAATAAACACATAGTTTTGATGTGTGAACTTAGCATGGCTTACCTCAACTATCAAAGCTCTCCAATTAGACGTATGTATATATTGACATCAGGACCCGATTAAAGAAATCTATGATTTTTCAAAGAAGTTTTGCTTGATCAATTGTCATTATACAAATTTGCATATACAAATACAGGTACATCCCTCTAGGGTGCCCTAGTCTCTTATATAAATAAAAACAGGATGAGTAAGATGCTTTCTTACAAGGTTTATTATTTACCTTCCAATGCAAATTTCATTGAAAAAAATATGTGTGATAAATTGGGAATTTTTTTCATCTAGTTATTTTTATACTGATCATTCCTTCCTAAGGACAATGGGGCAGCCCTTCCATAAGGAATAAATGACTAATAACCATTAAATTGCATCAGATGAATTTGATAACGATTTCTGTGTGGCCTAAATCACTATAATACAAAACTAGTTGTTGTTTTTTTTTCCATTGCTAAGCTCATGTTGGCAAAGGACAGAACAAGCAAATCTCAATACAATGGCCAATTTCTACTCTCTCATGGCCATCTTTGGGCCAAAAAGTACCATGGAAACTTTTTAGTCAGCAAATAGTCAGCCAATAGAAATGTTCAGTGAAAAAAATGTTCAGTCAAACACATAAAGCACAATGGCGGGGAAAGTAGTCTAAGATAGGGTTGGCTTTGTGCATAATGTTTCTCTGATGAATTAACCCCCCACCTGAGGGAGGGGGCATGGTCCCAGGGATCAATGAGAGTCTTGGAAGGAAGAGGCAGATTCTAAATTTCTCTCCTTTTTTGCATCTATTCTATACAAAATCAGACGCTTTAGTAATTGGAATTGAAGATAAACTAAGTCTAAGCTTATAGACATTCATTTCCTATTTGTATTCCACTTAGTGTTCCCAACTCAGGCTGCAAATATGTCTGCAGGAGCATTCCCTCAAAGTTTTACTCAATATTAACCAGGAGAAGAAAAACAGAATTATAGTCCAAATCTCCACACATGCAGAGTGCTCCCATTTCCACCAAAACTAGTGCCGACAAGGAGATAACAATGTTATTTAGCTCCCTTCCAGATAACTAATTACAGATGCTTAAGAAAACAATAGCAAACCTGGTTTAAAAGTATTTGCAATTAAATTTAAGTGTTCCCAGAACCTCTGGACCTTCCCAGTGCTTAGAATGAAATACTTGTAGATGCATTTGAAGGACGAGACATGAGAAAAATATGAGCATCCCATCAGCCCTTGCCATATGACCGATGATGAGAGATTCGGGAAGTGACAGTTCATCAACATTTGAAGGCCCTTCATTACCCACTCCTGAAAAGTATGTAAGATTAATTAATAGAAATAAAGCTTTTGTCATTATGCTATGTATGTAAACATAACCTAGTCTCTAATTATGCATCCTATGCCTAAAGTCTATAAATTCTGAGCTTCAAAAATGTTTCAATAATTCCTTTACAAATCTAATTTTATGATTCAGAAAGAGAATTATTCAGAAGCTGCTCTGAGACTGAAATGAACTTACAAATATCTTGGTGGAGAGTCATGTCTCTAATTATAAGAAGATGAGTTTAAAAAAATGTAACAAGAGAGCGTTTTCTAAAAGTGAGATTATGCCATAAAAGGAAGTTGTTTTCTGCATTGTGCTCTGCCTCTGTATCAGCCTTGGCTAATCTAAATCATTTCTTAGATCAGTTGTCAAAACAAAGGAATCTGAGAATTGTTAAACTAAGGACAAAGGTACCGATTGTGTATAGAGTTTCTGTGCCAGGCTGCTTTTTCCCTCTGACAAAGAGGTTAAACAAGCACATATAGATTGGGAATGGACAATAAGCAGTGCCCAGCTTTGTTGTTAGAAATTGTAAATATCTCTTACATCTGACCCAATTTAGTTACATCTTAATTTAAACTGAGAGATAAAACAGGGGAGACAATGAGTTTGCTAAACTCAAAGAAACTTGACTTCACAATTATTCCCAACCCAATTTCATATTAGCTATTTGGCTTCTGATCTTGTGTCACATTAATTCTAGGGTGATAGGGGGCTCCCCTAAGTCTCTTCTCAGGGACCCCTTTAGCCTCCAAAGACCAAATCATGGTCTCTCCCCCCCCGGAGCGTTTTTGTATGGATAATATAAGAGAAATGGATGAAAGTTATTGGGACACACAACTAAAAAAAGGGCTGGGCTGGCAAAAAAAAAGATGTGCATATATACAGAATCATTATAAATAATAATATTTAAGGAGGCTGATGCCAAAGGTTAAAATTCAGTTGAGGCCAAAAACAACCAAGCCCTGTTTGGAAAATAATAGCCTTAACAATCTAATGAAAAGCTGGGAAGAGTTTAAGGTTAGAATTTTCACACCACTACTGTGAAATAATGCTGATGTGTAGAGAAGGAAAAACACTTTGACATATTAATATACTGTAACTATTGCTTGGCATGGATAAATTATTAAATACATTTTATCCCTCGAACTTCTTTGATTAAAGTCTTAATTATTTCATAAAATATTTAAAATATTGTTGAGCTTGATTCCATTATTTCTGAGGGAATTATCCCCAGATTATTAGAAATTTCACCTAATGCCTAGGCTTTAACATATATGGACATTTGGTTCCTTCACATTATAATTAACAACAAGTTTTCAGAGGACTTTTTATCTGATGTCAGAATACTATAAAATTATGATTACCAGAGTCACCCAGGAAATTTCATGGCTTAGTTTAAATCTGAATCCCATTTAAATCCCAAACTACTGTCATAGTAGTGGGGAAAACTACGGTCAGTCTCACTAAATGAGAAATATTTCTAGAGTGATTAGCTTGCCCTTAAGTTTTGATCAATAGTTTTGATAGTTTGTCGCTCCCCACCAATAGGAATTTTATTTTAAAAAATCACTGGATGTTCCATATTCCAAGTTCCAAGTCTAGTACCACATGACATTATTGAATAAAAATACCAATATAGCAGAATGTACCTTATTATTGAAATCTGGATG